CGCCTTTCTCCAAGGCTCACCCCTACATTTTGCCCTTTCAAACGCCCACGCTACCTCTCGAACCCGCCCTGGTCTCTCCTCATCGCAAGAATGCCATTGATATTGTTTGGATGCCAGCGGGTGGGCGCCCCTCAAGCGAACGAGCGCAGTGTGTACGGATATCTGTATGGATGCCAGATGCGAATTGGCGTGCGTTGGAGTGGGAAAGAGACAAGAGAGAGGAAGAGATGAGGGACCGACGAGAAGAATGCGCCCACGGCATTATTGCAACCTGGGTATCCGTACTGGTATCCGTACCTCACTTGCCAATGGCTTTGGAGAGACCGGAGACCTTTTCTCAGCAAATTGACGGGAGCCACTTGAGAGGAGCCAAACCCGGCATCTCGACGCCCGTGATACGCTACGGTTGGTCTCGTCGATGGAGTATGGGCAAAATGTCACCATTCAGAGCCCTTCTACTGGTCTTTCCTCCACTCTTTTTACTTTCATGCCCGTCTTGACACTTTTCACACTTTCCCGAGTGCAGAGAGACGCAGATGCGATGCCATCACAAGGCACGCACGCACACCACCACCACATCCATCATCCCTTACTCTTTTCAGGCCAGCGGGACGGCGAGTGCTGTCATCAGGCATTTAGCTTCGCAGGAGGAGGATGGTATCGAAAAGTCGTTGGACCGGAATACATAGTCCCCTACCCCGGCCCTGGAGCCATTCCCCTCTCAGATATCGCGACATCCATCTCAGCCCAAGGGGACTTTGTGGCGACACTGGCGAGCAAGCGCCGTTCCGAGTCAAGCCATGGCAGGTCTGAATATAGACATGATGCTGGCTACGTATCCGGTATGGCGTACGGAGTAGATGGCAGATAATAGGGTCGGAGAATCGAGTTTGATGTATTTTTTCCCCCTTCCTTTGCTTTGGCAGAGAAAGACCCTGCATATCTCATCTCTACAGGCATTGGCGATTGATTAACTCATGGCTTGGACGTCAGGCAAGCTCGCGAGAATCCACCTACGGTAACTTGGGAACAATTCCTCTTCTCCAGGTACTCCGTACCCCTCGTCCTGACTACCTATCCGTACGTATCCGTCATAGGCGCAGGAGAAGAACAGAAATCAAAGCGCACACACCGTTTCTCTCTACCTTGATCCGACCGATGCTAGTATCCGTACCAGCATGGGGAGTCTACAAGTCTGCATTCTGGTCTGCCTTTGTAGATGCGCAAGAAAGGAGAGTCTACCCATCAACTCGAACCCCCATCCCGTCCCATGCCCATTCCATGCAATGCGCTGCCCCTCTCATCGGTCTCCGTGCCCTTGCCTACCCATCATCAGTGGCGGTTTTTTTTTTTTTTTTTTTTTTGGCTTCTTCTGTTTCTTCCTACCCCGAGGGAGGCGCAATGCGTATCCGCATGCCCTAGACGCCGTACCCTATCCTACGTTACGCTGAATCCTGACTTAAGTTGACTAGCCTAGTTTGAACCTGCTCGGATTGGGGAGATGGGGGAGAACAGAGCTCTTGCCCGTGGCATGGCGCTAGAGGCGATGGCGAGCGGGAGAGACAGATACCGGCACCTTGTGGACTGGGGGGCTTTTCTCTTGATGCTGGTGCACACGAGTGTCTACCTACCTTGCCAAAGACTTGCAGAGTCTCCGTTCAGTACTTTTGGTAGGCAAAGGCCAACTTGCCTGAGGTACGAAGTACGCAATATGCTCGAGCCTGCTAGCCTTGTCCAAAGTATAGACGACGTACTCGGGTACTTGGGACGGGACGTGGTCGAGGCGTCGACAGCCGCGCTTTACGTTGGTAGTTCTACCCGTCAGGCTTGGTACCTGCGCAGCGCAACACCTGACTTGGACGGTACAAGCCTGAGCCCGGCTCTTCACTCACAGGTTTCCGCATCCTGCAGTGCGTGCGGATATACCGCTTTTCTGATGTCTAGGTGCCCCCTCTCAGTCTCCTCTCTCACTAAGAAAGCCCTGAGAGGAGAGAGAGAAAGAGAAAGAGAGAAAGAGAGAGAGAGAGAGAGAGAGAGAGAGAGAGCTGTGTGTGCACACTTTCTCTTGCCTGGCTTAGGACAGCCGGGTATCCACTTCCCATGGTCCTTGCCTGCAGCCCCCCCCCCCCCTCTCTCCTCCCACTCCTCCTCACTTAACCCCCCCCCCTCCTTCCCTTCCGTTGTCTTCCTTCTCTCCTTCCTTGCCCGCCCCCCCTTACACCCCGGTCGAATCCCCATCCCTCTTCCCTTACTAAAGTGACCCCACCACAAATCCTCTTGTTGACTTCTTCTTTTCGCCGCCAATTACACACCCCCTCTCTCTCCATCGGCTTTCACACCCCACCCCTTCACCTCATTGCTCCACACAACGCACTTTAACACCAAGTAAAGCGACATCATAGCTTCATCTGCTGTCTCTCCTGCCTGACCCGGAAGCACCACAGGATGTAAAAGCGTTGTTCCCTCGCCTCCCCCCATCCCTCTTTGCGAATTCTACACCTTGACCCAATTTTCTGAACGCTCATCAGAGAAGATCATCAGCTCCATCATCCAACCTCAAACCAAACCACGCATTACAGACACGCGCTCCGCCTTCTTTCCTGCTTGCCCTGTGCTTTTCGGTTCGTCACAACTGAAGAGAACAGAGATAGAGCGCATTGAGAGGCAGCAAAATCAAAAAAGAAGCAACCGTCTTTTTCACTGCCCCCAATCTCTCTTTCCACAGAAAAAAAAAACCAGGGACAGATACTGGTACCTACTTTCTCATACACACCAAAAAAAAAGCACTACACTACGTACTTCGTACACACACACACACACACACACACAACACGGGAGAGCCCCACTATTTGCGAACTCGAGGAAAAAAGGGAAGGGGAAGAAAAAAAAAAACCAACGCACCTCCAATTATCGGTCGTCTTCTCCCGGCTGACTTCAGAGCCGTCTGCACTTTACACCGCACTACTGAACTACACCTGGGGTCCCTGTCACGGCTCCCCAATTGACCTCGAGACTTTGCACCAAACCGTCCTCGACACCGCAGATCTTTCTCCCATTTCGACTTCGTCCCAGGGACGTACTCCAGGTCTCCTCCTTTCCTCCTGGTCAACTTGTCAAAAATTGGGCCACCATCTCTCTCTCTCTCTCTCTCTCTCTCTCACACACACCTCTCTCACATCCCATCCACAATCCACAATCCACATCCTCACTCACTCTACGGATACACACACCTCTAAACCACGCTACGCACTACCGCGCATCCGCTCCGCTCTCGCTGGTCAACTACCAAGTACCCTACGCAGTACCTCTCTACTGTACCTCAACCTGGTCGTTCCCTCCCTCAAGGCTCCTCCTCCTCAGCCTGCCCCCGGTCCTAATCTGAACCATCCTGCTACCCTACCTAATCGCCCCCAACCCTGTCCGCCTCGGCCTCTTTCCCACGGGATATTGGCGCTGTCGATCACTCTGAGTCGGAGTCGTCACAGCTGTCTGCAGAGAACGGGTCTCCACACTACGCCCATGTCCCGCTGACCACTGTGCAACAAGCTTCATACGACTCTTGCCTGGTCGGCCCAAACGATTGGTCTCAGCTCTCGACTGGTTCAAATACTCGTGTGTCAGTAGTCCACAGGCACACACTTAAACCTCGCTGATCCCCCAACCTCAACTCACCCAACTCCCACGGGATCATCCAGTTCTATCTGATCCGTAACACGACTTGGCTCTATTCAAAGCCGTTGCACTTGCATCCGATCAGCAAACGCTATTCCACCGGACATCTACCTTTGTTGACGCTCAACCTCGTCATCCCATCTCATCACCACCATAACCACCAACCATACCATCATGACTATGACATTAGATTCTCAGCAACGATTCGGACCCTTAAACACATTCGACCACATGTCTTCCTACGCACATTCATCCACCTCCTCCCCCCAGTTCTCAAACCCGTGGGCAAACACCTCATCACCCCAAGCTCCTCACGGCTTGTATGCCCCTCATCACGGCCACTCTCTTAACTCGGGTTTGGGTCTGGACAGGTCACACACTGCTAGGACTAGCACCAGCAGCAATGCCTCATCTTTGGGTTCTTACGGACAGATCCCAGTGACGGCAGCTTCAGCAGGTAGTCTCCCCATGGCAGACACTCTGCCTAGGTCGGACTTACTCACTCTTCCCCAAGATATCCTCAGCATCAACCGCATGGCTGCCACTTCGGCCCCTGCCTATGGTGATGCTCCCTATGCGACCGCCGCCTCCCCCGTCAACGGCTCTTACACGGCTTCTCCCACTCCCTACGAGACCTTGGGCTACGCACCTGCTCCCATGCGCTCTACCTTCGCTCTTGCTCCGGAACCCGAACACTCTCGGAGATTCTCTCACTCGTCAGTACCCTCAACTTCCCTGGTCGATGTTACGGACCCCAATGTTTTGGCCCGACCCCATCGCAACTCAATGATTGACTTTAACAACAGAGGACTTCACCACCACGATGAGCGCAGGAGCTTCGCTGATGCTCTCGATGCAAGCCATGGCATGCTCGCCATGAGCCAAGAGACCCCCCGCAACATCTATGGCGCTCGCAGCGACAGGGCTTCAGGTGACTCTTACGGCTTCCCCTCGACGCACTCTACCAGCTCTTCCGTGTCCTCCGCTTCTGGATTCGGAAACTACTATGGCGCCGACTCTGTTAGCGACTACTCTACTGCCGGATCAGACATCGAGTCTGTCACCTCTCGGACTCTCCCTAGGCCCCATGGACTCATGGCGCCTCAGATCCCGCCTGCGCCCCAGTCCATGATGGGACAGTTCAGCTCCAAGGTATCGTCGAGCACGCAGAAGAAGCACAAGTGCAAGGTCTGCGACAAGCGATTCACTCGCCCCTCTTCCCTCCAGACGCACATGTACAGCCACACTGGCGAGAAGCGTATGTTATATACTCATCATCCTGTATGCGAAGGCATACTCCCCAACCACATATGCTAATACCACTATAGCCTTTGCCTGCGAGGTTGAAGGATGCGGTCGTCACTTCTCCGTGGTCTCAAATCTGCGGAGGCACAAGAAGGTCCACAAGGGCGATGCTCGCTCTGAGGCCGGCTCTGAAGACCACCAATCCGATTAATCGGATTTTACTCGCCACATTCACATGTACAACAAGCTGCCACGGTAGCATTGATGTCCTCGAAACGATCCGCGGCGAGTAGGATTCGTACGAGCTCACGAGTTTTCCCGGTTCGAGTCATGACCAACAGTCTACACCCACTTTCGACACCAAAACACCCTCCACATCCTGCGAGTGGCTCGACAACGGGGTTGCGACATTTCAAAATTTCTTATAGACGGTTCTCGTTTTTTTCATCGGGTTTCCCACGATACCATTCTTACAATCGTTATAATATCCATCTATCTGCGAGCGAAAGAGACAAAAGTCGGGCGGCGGCACAGGAATTGGCGGGCAGGTTGTCACTTTCGGATCATCGTCATAAAGGGTGTCTCATGATATGTTGGAGATCTTCTACCAATTTTTTTTTTGGCTTATTTTTGCCTTCGACGTATTCGAGCCCGCGGGCTCCGGAACGATGCGGCAGAATCTACGGCGCCTCATGGTTTCGAGGTACGCACAGGAAAGGGAGGAACTGTAGGAGGAGAAAGGGGGACAAGGGAGCGCGGATTCGCTTCACTGTCGATCTCTCAACCCCACACCACACAACCCCAAGATACGGGTCAGGTTGGTGGCTGGACCAACCACGTTCTCGTGCATTTTCGGTTTTCAAATGTTCGAAAGAGGAAGAAGATCTCCAAGAGGTTGTGGAGGACCTGGCGATACCCTCACCCTTGGCGTTGAAAGGACATTGGGCTGCACTTTTGTTTTTTCGCTGCGTTTTTCATCACCCGTTATTTTGTTGCGCGCTCATCATGTCATTTCAGCCCGTTTGGGATATTCCACCCAAGGGTCACTTTCTAGATGACGAAACCAGAGGTCGGTGCTTCGGCGGCACACCTCGCAAAAACTCGACCTTGTTCCCAAACCGGGAGGGCGACTTGTAGTACTAGCTTCCACACGATGATTATACCCATCATACTAAGAAATGCCATTGCATTTTCTAGTTTGCATCGTCTAGGATTTTTTTTTTTACTTCAATCTTGATACTCTACTCGTGACTTGAGCAGAGAAAAAGAGCAAAAAAACGAATGACGGCGGGGGCGGCGATGGACAATGGAATGGGTTGTGGTTTTAGGAATCACTGGATATGGGTATCAACGCACATAGTACATTGCGGACAGTATAATGTAATAGTAGTACGAAGAAGAATTTCAAAAGAAGATTCACACATCAACAACACTGCTCCCGTTTATTCTTGCGCGCTCTCCATGTATCCCACAGTGAAGCTTGGCTTGGTGGATCGGCAACGCAAGATCAGACCACCTCTAGTTGTAGCAACGTTCGATCGATTAGTTGCAGGTGGTCAAGCTTCAAATAGATGGTGCGGCGCCGAGGGCACGGGGGAATTATTCCTCTCCTCCGCCTTTGCATCAAGATGAGATGGGGAAAACGACAATCTGTATCCCCAAGCAGCCTGCCCCCGTGCCCTTTCCCCCCTGGGCCCCCAAAGCACCATGCCTGCCATCTCATCACATATGCATCTCTCCCCGCAATGGGGATGAAGCCGAACGAAAGCATGAGATGAGATGCGTGTCGTTTTGGGGCTTGGACCGTCGACGGTTCGGCTCTCACCGACTCGCCACCTGCCATGCGATGCGATCTATTCGGGCAATGATATCCCCCAATATCACGGCCCTGAAATTTCAAAGGGTTGATATCCGTAGCCTAGTGGTTCAACCACGGCGCGCGCCTTTGTCTCATCGCAAATCCAATCGCTTCCGCCGAGTGCGGAAGCTGAAAGTGTGTGTAGGTACTCCGTATAGTGGTAGGTATACTACCGGCCGGCACCGCATATGCGTGTGTGACAACCCAATGGGAGGGATAAGCCTAAATGAGGGTCGGGCTCACTGCCTTTCTGGCGAAACCCCAGGGCACTGCCAGGCACCCAGGAAAGCGCCATGATTTTGATAGAAGGAGGGGGTTCCTTTGGGGACCTTTGGGGAAAGGGGAAAGAGGCTGCGTCGATCTCTAAGAAAAGGGGGAGGGGGTTGTGCGAGTGTTCATGTGAAAACATGGGAGAAGCTGCCGCGTGGTCAGCGATCGGCGCGCGGTTGCGTTCGGTACGCGGGGCGCACACACACACACACACACACACACACACACACACACGCATGTTGACATGCTTGGTATATGCTAGGTGGTAGGTTGGGAATGCGCCCATGGTCAGATAAGATCATCCATCTTGAACGTGGCTCACGAATGAGTGGATTGGACGCCGCCGGGGGGCTCGGGGGAGGCCAAAAACGACAAAAAGTCCTGATCGAAGTGGAGGCTCAAGGCGCGACGTTGTTGTCGTTGCTGCCCTGGGCCAAGGTCACTTGGTCCGGGCATGTTAGCGGCGACTTTGTTTTTGGAACAAGGCGCCGTTGCGGCAACTGAGTCGAACGCGGCGACACGGAAGGGCGGCTAAAAGGGAAGGGTTTTGACTCGCAATGATAGAGGCGTTTCGGGGCGGAGACTCGGGGAGGCTACGGAAAGAGGCTAACGGAGACGGGGGACGAAGCAACCTTGGGTTACGTAGATAGAGGGGAGCGCTATCAAGGATGGAGACGTGCTTACGTAGTTTACGGAGTGCTCAAGGGGATCTCACCAAGACGGCACTAAACCAACTTTGCTGTGAAGTGACGGATGGCGTATGGGCCAAAACGGAGATGACTAATTCAGTGCCATGTACGACGTGGTGTTAGTTGTAACAAGAAACGACGGATCCCAAAGAGGCCACTAGAATGGTCAATCTGCAATTCTGCCGCAGACACTAAGTCGTGTCGTATGCCCGTCCGTTGGAGCTAATGTATAGTATGAGCCGACCAAGAGGGGGGAATGGGGGATAAGGGACGGGAAGACCAATATGAGAGAGGATACAGGGTGGAAGATCGCACATGCATTGGAGGACTGACAGGTTGGTAAGGTCTCTTGGTGGAGCACCCCGAACATGTAAGATGCAAAAGAGGAGAGCATCTTACCATTCGATATGGAATGAAGATTGATGGAGACCGAGAATGATGAGGGGAACTTTGTCATTGGCAATTTGGCATTACACCAAGGACTGCGAAGACGGGGGACTGGGGACTGGGGACTGGGGTTCTTGGGAAAGGGGAGCAAGGAAGTAGAGCTCCGCTGAACTGGATGAGTTGGAAATGGATGGGCTGGGGATAACGATGTAGGAACCGTAACAAATGGAGAATGCGGACCTTTGTGCTGCAAGTGGTGGGCAGGCCAAGGTAAAGGCTATGCAAGATGAGGCAAGCCGCAAAGCAAGCGAACCAAATGCCTATGTGCTTCAAAAGAACGAGCTATCAGAAAAAGCCTGATGGCAGATGTGGGAGAAAGTCGACACCGTTGTCGTCGTTCTCGTCGTTCTCAGCATCGAATTGCCTCATCCCAGCCGCAGCCCCAGCTCTTCGAACGTCCCACGGGGCGCGACAAGAAGAGCCAACTTCGGCGCAACTAGAGATGAAGGGAAAAGTGGATGCGCGTGTTTCAGCAACATGTCAGACTCCGTACATGGGCACGCGTCGAGCAGCGAGCATCTGTCTGCTGGGATTTGGCACCAAGGCGAGCTCTGATCATTTCCTGCTCGAGAGATATACTGAAGTCAAGCTCGATCAAGCTTTGTGGTGGGCTGAATAGGAATGATTGGACGAAATTGCCTTGGGCGGGGCGATCTTGGAAGAGACGGATCCCGGCGGCCCTGAAGTCTGAACTGTGGACTGGGCCACAATGTCGGTCATGTATCCGTCCAGAGAAAAGCGTATGAAGACTTCGTGAAGAGAGGTCCATTCTGATCATGGATACTCTGTTGGGACCTTGGTCCTTGGGTATACACAACGGGGCCTATTCGAGCGGCATTTGGTGACTTGGTCCGGCTCAACTTCTCAAGATGGTCGGTCTGAGCCTCTGGGAGGGCTGGCTCCCTGCGCGATAAGATAGGAACCCCACTGCTCACGACGTCTTTGTTTGATCCTCGGGGAGCATGGTAAGGTTACATCCAGCAGGACCAGAGTGCCAGATGTACCGTACTACCGTACCCGTACCGAGCCGGACCAAAAGCAGCAAGAAAAGGGCACATTGACCCAGGATTTGGCTGGGATTTCTGCTCGCGAGGCACCCGATTCGATGGAACCAAACGATATCCAAAACATGACTTCTCTGGAGTTTCATGTCCCATGCCATCCCTGAATTGCCTGGTGCTAGGTTTCGCTGGACATCACATCCCACGAAGCCTGGAGGACCGGCCAGCAAATGAGGCGATAAGGCGAACGTTTCCAAGCCTGCCGGAGGACCGACGATCCGCCAGGTACCGACACCGACACACACACTCGTGTCCATCCTTCAGCGGATAAGCGCGTGACAAGTCTCCAAGCCTGCCGTGACTGGCTTCTCCTACCCCAGATGACGGGAACGGGGATGTCCAGTCGCTCTCCTGCCAGGATTCTGCCATTACACCATTAGAATGATATTGTGCTCGAAACGCGATGCAGTGCGCAGCTAGTCCGTTAAAGTGATGCGTGATATAATGGAAGCCTTGTGTGCCAGATGCGAGGCGATGCTGAGCAAGCGAGAGACGGAATTGCTTGGCATCCGTCTTTTGATACCGCCTTTGTCCACCATCCGAGGTTTGTGATGGCATGCGGAGGTTCCGCCCAACTAGCGAGGTAGCATGCGGTACTCGAAGTGCAGCGGGCGCGCCAACGACGGCAGCGCAACTGCAAAAAGCTGGCGAGGCGTCAAAGTGGCCGCAGCCGACCACGGAAAGGGTAAAGGCCCTCGAGCGTTCGTCCTCCCCAAGCCTCAAGGGTCCTACGGAGCTCCGTCATCGAGATATCGGCGCACGAGTGACGAGACAGATGGCTACTTCAGGGGGGGAGGCCTTTTGACATCAACGTCATGGTGGCCGCGGCACCAGACTTTGGTCCTCCTATCGTGTCGTGTGCGGTGAGTTTAGGTTGTGAGTGGTGATTGGAGTCGGTTATTGAGTTGGATGCGGTGGGTGGGTAGTAGATAGCGTAGCTAGTGCCTGCAAATGTGCCTTCATGGGTGCTTGGGTGAGTGGATGGGTGGGCGGGAGTGTGTTCGTAGTTTGGTCGACTTCTAGCAGTACGGATAGTAAATGTGCGTGCCCGTGCCCGCAGCCCGCAGCTCGCAGGCCGTGTGGTACGGCATGGTACCGCGGCGGCGCTGGCGGCGGGCCATTTGGCGGCCGGGGAATGTCACGGAGGGATTGGACTCAATCGCAGGCTTCGCAACAGACGTCTCCGTCGGGTGGTAGGTAGTGCTTTTGTGAGGTGTGGTGCACCGTACGGATACCCCCTCGGTTGGAGGATTCTTGCATCGAAAGCAGCCAACGAGCGGGCGCGCTAGTGCGGCTAGCTGCACGCAGACCCAGCGTTGGATTGGGGCAAGGCAGACGCCTCTCGAGATGGGATCTTCAGGGTCCTTCTGCTGTTCCTAGAAACCCTAGGTAGGGTCTGAACGCCCACCCCGGATTTTTTTTGTTCGGTGGGGAAGAGTGAGGCGTGGGTGATCACTGATGGTGGTGTTGTTGTTGTTGTTGTTGTTGTTGTTGTTGGCGGTGGTATTGGTGCAAGCTTGGATGACTTTTGGTTCACGGTCGGCTCGCAAGGGACAATGCATGTTTACGAACCAAATGCGATGTCATTGCTGTCTCGGCGAGTGAGCGAGGTGTGTACGTTGATTCGTCTGTCTGTATGTTCATGGTCGCGCTCTGTTTGCCACAAAGCTAGGTGAAAGTTGAGGTTGGCTTCCAACCATGAAGGGGGTGCGTAGAGAATAATTGGAGGAGCCTTGGAGGAGAATGATGATTGAAGTTGGAGGGCTGGGGACGACTTGGGGGTGGCATGGTCATGCTGTCACTCATGCCTCGTCCTTGCTTGCTTTCCCGTTCTCATTACCTAGGTCCTTCCTCCATCCTCGCAGAGTTACAAGTACCACACATCCTTGGCCCAGCAAGGCCGAACCGAAGAATGACATGCTGTCCTCAGTAACACGAGCGACAGGGAGCTCTCTGTCTGGCAACTGCATGAAGACATCACCAGCTGCTCCGTCTCCGATGCAAGTCATCGTCACTTCCAACCTCCAACACACCACACCGCCAATCTCCCGCGCAGGAGCAGTTGCGGATATGGGCAGGAAAAAAAAGATATAACAAGTAAACAATGTGATGGGGTTCATCGATCCCCAATCGGCAGCACGCCCGGCCGGTACTGCGGGCAGGTATCTTGCAGTGTCGTACCTGCTACAGCTGCACTCCTCCTACCTAAGGTACCTAAGCTAATAAGGAATGTGCGATGCTAAAAGGCATCCGGAAGGAAAGCGAAGAGGGTGTGGAGGATGGGTGGATGCCGTGGTTCGTCGTTAGAATTAACAACCCGGCCTCGGTGACGTCGGTGGCTTCAAGAGCGGGACTAAAGCGGGGATAATGACTCTGTGGTATTCCCACTCTGAACCGGCATCCACAAACGTCATTATGCCACGGCCACCGTGGGGTCCGGCTCATCTGACTGGTCAACGATTCGTCCATGGGGGGAAGGAGGGGGGGTGCGCCAGCAAATGTCCAAGATTCAAGATGGGATACGTACTTTCCTCTGCTGCGTACACACCCCCAGCCACGGCTGCCAAAAAAGAAAGGAATGCAACGACCAATTCTGGCTAATGCATGCAAGGTAGGAAGGTATCGTGACACAGATGAAAGATGCCTGCCTCAGATCCCAAGGCGGTGCTTCCTTCCTTCATCTCTGACCCGAGAGACATGTCACTGAAAAATCGTTACAGGAAAATGAAGAGCGCAGAAAATCGTCAATACAGCTCCATGCAACTCCCAAGGACCCTATCACCAGGCCCCAAAAGCTCTAATGGACCCTGGCCCCACTGGGAAAATACCATGGCCGACACTCACACTGGTGACTGGATCAATGGACAGCAGGTATCATCCGTGGACCGTACCTTATTCATTCGCACGGCGCAGGCATGGCGCATGCTCTCTCAACCGAAGTTTCATGTTCCCTGTCGACGCATTTCATCTCATCAAAGAACGAGAGAGGAAGCCAACCGACCCTTATTTCCTTGGTTTCTATTTTCGCAACCTCCTCCACCCTATTCTCAAAGTTCTCTTTGGCACATCCACCCATCTCGAAACACAAGATCTGCCGCAGGCCCGCAGCCCAATTGATGCCAATCCTCATGGCCCATGAACCATCCGGCATCCTTCGTCCCTTGACAGCGGTGGCCACAGGGATGTCCGTGTCTCGTCTTTGCGCTGCCCGTGTATCGCAGTCGCCTCGTCTCTTGGGACGGAACCAAGAAGTGGGAAATAGGGGTCGAGGCATGTTCCTGGCAAACACTGCACATTATCCGTACGGATACACTACCACACTACCAGACGACACCGCGGGATACCTTTCCAGAAGAAACCGTGTTCCTGACCAGCTCACTCACTGACCGCTAGCTGTACAGGACCAGGAGACTTTACGCCCTGCGATACCAATTGCCCTGGCAAACAGAGGCGTCCAGTAAGTATCCGTAAGGATACAGCGTTTTTGCCTGTCTCGGGCTCGCTCCCTCCCACCTCCAAAAAGAACAGTGACGCGGACTGCACACCCTCAGGCGCTACACTATGGCATTTTCGTAGATGTCCATGTTCAGGCGCCAGGAAATACCATCATCCTGAGGCGTTGAGCAGCCTGCGGAACCAAGACCAACCGTGTTGCACTGCCATCGCACTTTCTCCAGCGTCTATTCGTACCCCTATACTCCGGTACTCCAAGCCCCCTTTTGTTTACATACTTCGACAGACCCCTAAGAGAAAAAAACAACGGCGGGACGATGCGGCCACACCACACCCTATGTAGCGACCGCAGCGCCAATGCCCCTAAAGTCTTAGACAGGCTTAGAGGACGGATACCTAGACCAGATGAGAGTGCTCGTTCCTCTACGCAACAGGGCGTCCCCTCTGCTCAATTGCCCAATCCAACTCGATCCAAGCGTGTCCAAGGTTCGACTGTGGTTGCGACTCCTCCGACCCGAGTCAAACACATCCTGTGCCATTGCGGAGAGCTCAGCAGATAAACGTTGCCTGACTTGACCTCAATTCGCAGCCCTCTGTCGCCTGTCGCCTCCCGCCGGCCTGACAGCCGCTGGACTCGGTTTCTTTCAATGGTTCTATGCCCCGGCGTGGGAACCACCCGCCCTCCACCACTCATGAGCATCAGATAACACTGAATCCCAGCACCCGAGTTGGCATCCTTGCCCTTAGAGCCAGCCTCACTGCTCTGGCGCGACCAATTAACCATCTCAGTGTTGCAGAGTCCCTGGCTTTTGCTAGGTAGCACGCACCGGCACGCCGCGGACCACTTGCAGTACTAACCAGCTTGCCTCTCACCCTCTCTACCACAGTATCACAGTAGGTATATGGAAACAAAGCAAAGAGGTTGCAGAGACCCCCATGCTCAGAAGTATACGTACGGCGTACCACCAACGAGTCACAAACAAGTCATCGTGGCCAATGGGACCAACTAATATCCAAGCCTTCAAATGCAGTACCCTGAATTGCCACCACAAAACTGCCGGGCATCTTCTCATTCAAGGCAGTCACTTTTTCCCCAACTACCAGACATGGCCAATCGCCGAGTCTTTCACCATCGCGCAAGACAACCTCCCTCCCTCCCTCCCTCCCTCCCTCCCGCCCCCGGTCCCTGTAAAGTCCCCGCGGCGCCGGCCTCTTCACCGCTCAAATCAGCCAACGGCCCCGTAACCGGACTTGCGCAAACGGACGGGGACAGACCTTCAAGGTTCGCCCTACCTTACCTCTGCCTTGTTGCGGTGCGGTTCCCCGTCCCCATCCTGTCTCGCGCTATATCAAATTCGTTGCCTACCTACGGAGTACAATCGATCGTACTGGTGGTTAACAAGACCCCCCTTGCGAGATTTTCTGACATCCGTCGGCCTTGTTTTTGTTAGTCTGTTTATTTATTTTTTTGCCACCCGAGATGGCCCATTCAACGAGCATCATCACCATCGTCAGTTCAGAAACCCCAAGACAAGGAAATGTTTATTGCAATGTAATGCCTCAACTTGAAGCAATTGGCTCCTACCACTCTGGATCCTACCGGGGCCAGCGGGATGGGGCCCCCAAGGGTCCTCTCCGAGATGAAGGCACTATAGCCTCGACGACGGAAGGTGCCCCCGATCGGGAAGGCTGCAGCCAGATTTCGCATCGCATCGTCTTTTTCTGCGTGAAGGGTTTCTGATGCAACAAAGCAATGAAGGGCAAGCACGGCAAGCAGCCATCCGCAAGGGTTCATCTCACTGGCTTCAGTGCTGAGTGCTGTGTGTACGTGTTGCGGCTTTGCTCTTGGCCCTTCCGCAACCCGATATCAAGGATAGGGAGCCGTGTTTCTGAGCTGTTTGTTCAGCAAGGGCCCAAGAAACGCCCGCATATTCGGAGTTTTCGCGCTGATTGCGAGAGCATGGCATGACATGGCATGGCACGACAGAGGTTGGGCCCTTGGGCCTTGGTGCAAGTGCATGGCTGCCAAACCACACAACAGCCCTATCTTGGCTACCCTGTAACCTCAAAGTCAGTATCTACATGTACGGATACTTGCAAGGAAGTCATTGCAAGTATTTCGTACGGATACACGGCGGCCATGTTTCTCATGTCTTTCCGAAGATCAAGTCTACATGGTCTCGTCGGGGTAGTGGTTACGGCTGCTTCGGCCGAAGCTATCAACATGAAGCTCGTCGTCGTCGTGCCCCCCAAAAGTCCTTATCAAATGCACATTCAGGGCTAACAAATATAGAGCCTTGGTTTGAGATGTAGTCCACTTGCATCGGAGAAGGCCGTCTTGTCTCGTAAGCCTCACGAGAAGAATCCTTGGAGTAGATTGAACAACCACCCCCGATCTACGCCCTTAGCTGGCGATCATCCGCAAAAAAAAACAAAAAACAAGACAAATTGTGTCTCACTTCGCGGGCACACGGGAGAGATCTCAACGCCGGGGGGCGGTGGTGACATGTCAGTCAGTGTGTGGGAGAGCATAAAAGTGTCAGGTTTTTAGTGTCTAGCTTGCGGGCGGGAAAGAGGAAGAGGAGGAGGAGAAAGAGATGAGACTTCACACCGCGAGCGGACTTAAAGCTTTCAGACGTTTAACTCTTACCCCGATCGCCGCCATCTACGATCTCAAGCCTCTCTCCTGACCGCCACTATAGTGTAGTGTAATCGTGTGCAGTACTTGTGAGCGTTCCAGGCTGTTTCCGGTGTCGATATCGTGAACAGATGCTCTCGGCTAAGCGCAACGTCTTTTTTTTCCCCTTCCCCCTCCTCCTCCTAGCTCGGAATGTGTGTGTATGTGTGAGAGAGAAAGAGAGAGAGAGAGAGATGTGGCCCAAGAGAAGCCGTTCAAGCTTGAGCTTGAGCTCCCAAAGGCTTTGATAGCAAAGCTTCCAGCTCGTAGCTCCCATTTTGCACGAAATCACGAACGTCCGTATACACGAAACGACCCCCCCCCCCTCCTCCTCCTCTAATCAAACCAATCTGCGCATTCCGACCGGAACTCACTCACCCACTCACCGATTCAATCTCAAAGAGCTTCCGGCATTGCAGTACCTACCTAGGTAAACGAGACCCAGGAGGGGAGGGGGGGCGTGTAAGGCGCTGTATCAAGATGAATCAGTCTTTGCCAGTGTTGCACAGTTTGGAAGACATACCGGGCAGTGGCATAAGGAGGAGGAGGAGGAGCGAGAGATGGTGTGAGGGAAGGGGGGGGCGTCAAACGCAAAAAAGATCGGTCATCGAAGGGGTTCTCGAGAGACACCTACGCAAGCAGCTTAAAGCTTTCAAGCGATCTGACGATGACGGTGCTGGCAATGGGCTTCAACGTCGTACAGGCACGTGGGGCGAGACGTTTTCTGGCCGAGGGGGGGGAGGCATTTCTACGTGGCTGAGACAGTGTTGCGAGACATTATCAGGGGGGGGGTTACGCACCGAAGTACGGATACACTTAATGGCATTCCTCTTCGTATCCTCGTCATCTTCACGATCAGGAGAGAGATGTTGAGGTACTCGCTTGCATGGATCACGATGGTAGGCAAAGGAGGAATGTTACTGTAAACCTTGTTCGATTCTGGATATTAAGCTACCTATGGCACTCAACCGCCATGAAGCTACTGCTAATGTCTTCAAAGCTGGGTAGAAACAGCCTCAGCCAAGACTTGATGGCCGAAATTGAAAAAAGAGAATTCCTTTCCTCCACCTCTCTCTCATACCTCCAAGTTCAGAAAGAAGCCTTGATCCCTCCTATCCGACCTTGGGAAACTCCGGTACTGTCTCATTTTGAGACGACAAAGTGAAAAGATGAAAAGTGATTGATAGTGAAGGGTGTTGTTTGGTTGTTTTGGTGTATGCGCGCGACCAGCTCGATGACAAAAAGGAGCTGTGTCCAGTTGTAGTGTACAAGTTCCTGGGAAGGAACCTTGCTGATTGTGTCCGAGAAGAGAAAGCGTCTTGACGCGCATGGTGGTATAACTAAACATGTAGACATTAAACAAAGGTCGTGAGGTCGTGAAGAATCGAATGCAGAGAAGTCGAGGCGGACCACGAGGCTACCGTCAGATCGTACGACGTGCCGTAACGATTAATCGTAGCCATGTGGAACCGCTATCGAAGACTGTGTTGTGTTTTGGCGTGGTGTGTCGAATATGTGCCGTCTTCGTCCCTCTTGGACTCAACAGCTGATTCTATGCCTCCGTTGGTGAAAGATGTCGAGCCGCGATGGTATCCCTTTTCCACGCCATGCCTGTCCAAACGCCAGAAAGCAAAACCCTGATAAAAGACCGAAACCGAAACGTTCCTCACAAGTGCTACACGTGCGGAGCGCCAGGACGGCCCTTGCCGAGTGACTCGAGCAGCTCGTGGGGAGGAATCTTCCTCATACCGCCGCCGCGGTCATACATCGATGTCGGTGCTGGCGAGTATCCCTCACGCTTCTTGCGCAGGCGATCGAGGGCCATACCGACGATGACAATGAGGAAGATGAGGGCGAGTGAGATACCGAGTCCAATCAGGACAATGAACCCAAGAGCCATGCGGCCGTCTACTTTGATATTAGTACGCATCTTCAAGTGCACCGGGGTTGCAAAACTTACCACTGTCGGAGAAGAAGTCCTGGTTCTCGGTAAAGATCCTCGAGATAGAACCGGCGGTGTTACCGCTGTTGACGGTGAGCGCGTACGGCTGGAAGGACGTTCCATTGAAGATGGCAGCTGAGGCTGTACCGAAGCCAGGGACGTTCAGGGAACCGGTGATCATCACGGCTTGGTTGGAGTCAAGGATGTCGGTGTTGTCGTGAGATGAAGTCAGAGAAAAGACTTGGATGCTGTTGACAAGGGTGCCGGGAAGTAAAGTAATTCCAGCAGATTGCCACTTGGAGCCGTCGTACTTCATCAGGTAAATGGAGCCGTTGTTCGAGGTTCCAGAAACCCAGAGTTGCTTGCGGTCACTCGATCCAGCCGTCAGAACCTCGACAGGACCCGGCAGAGAGTCCTCTCCAGGGTAAGCAGACCATGCCTGGCGATCAGGGCTATACATGGCAAGCATAGCGGGAGAGGTACCATTCAAGGTGAAGTTGCCACCGGCGACAAGCTGGGATTTGCTGGTCCAGATGAGGCAATGGCCGGTGCCTTCGAGGTTGACACCAGGACGGTTCCAACCTGCCAGAGATGTGTCATAGTAGCAGACACCTGGGCAGCCAAGGGCTCCAGCTGACTCGAAAGAGCCGGCAACATAGACATCACCAGAATCGGGGCGGACCTCGATGGATGTGACAGTCGCGTTCCCGCCGCTGATGCCGGGAGGTTGCGTGCTGTTGAAGGTGGCGGTTTGGAGGTTCAGGGAAATGATACCTCGCACGTCATTGTCGTTGACGCTACCACGGACGCTGCCGCCGGCAAAGAGAAGATCGCCAGTAACCGCGAGGGCAATGAAGGTTGAGTTGTCCTCGATCTGGGAACCGAGGCCGGTGATTGAGTTCGAGTTTGACCCGTCAATGAGCACCAGGTTGTTGGCGGAACTGCCGTTGGTGCCCACAGCCGTGAAGTGGCCGCCCAAGATGGTAATGTTGCGGTCGTTACCAGTGTAGAATGCACCAGTGACCACACCCGTAATATTGCCGCTAGCAAGAGAATCGCGTTTGCTGACTGTGCTTGAAGTCGTGGAAGATGACTTGAACTTGACCGGGAACTGGCCAAACTTCTCAGCGAGGGTGACGGCACCATTGGCGCTAATAGTGGCCGAGGTCATCGATCCCGCGTAGAGAGATCCTCCTCCGGGAAGATCGAGGATTCCAGTGGTCAGGATTCCATTCAAGGCCGGGACGGGACCGCTGAGGTTCTGCAGCCAGTTCTTCTGGGAGGGCACCCAGACGGCGAAGCCAGAAGCTTGAATAGCCGAGTTGTCGCCAAACGCGTTGATCTCACTGAAATCGCCGGTGAACGTAACAACGGACTCTGCCTCACTCTCGCTTGTAATGTTGACCAGCATTGGGACAACGTGGGAAACTTCGCCATTCACGCCTGCACCAAGCGCAGTCCACGCGTTGGCGGAGGTGTCGTATACGCCGACATTGTTGAGACCTGTGACGGCATTGTCGAGGGTGTTAGAGAAGACACCACCGACGTAAAGCTGGGTGCCGTTCAGTTCCATCGCCTTCACTTCGCCGTTGAGACCGCCGTCGAGAGCCATTGTAGCCTCGCTTGCAGTGTTGATACCAATGACGTTGCGGGCAGTGGATGACGTGAAGTTGCCTCCGACGATGACCAAGTCACCAGCAGTCGTCAAGCTAGTGACTGCAGATCCTGAGGAGAATGATGACCCGAGCTGGTTGATCTTGGAGCTCTTGAAATCCGTGTTGATAGTGGCAGACGAAGGATCGAAGTCGAATAGGCCATTCAGGCCGCCTGTCGAGTTGATGAGAGTGAATCCGACGCGCTGAGCGACAATGGTCATTTCATCAATGCTCTGCCCAGCCAAAGGAGTCAGGGTGACACTGGGTCGGAAGCCGTCTGCGGAGCTGGCCTCGATGTATCCAAAGTAGATCTGGTCGTACTTGTCGAAGTTGTTAGTCTGGTAGAGAGACGTAGAAAACGTGTTGCTACCAGTGGACGACATGATGCCCGTAACGTTCACCTGTGCTCGGGTCAGGCAGGTACCGTCCTGCAGGCAGCCGGGCGTGTACAGGTTGACAGAATAGTTGCCAGACTCCTTGAGATCGGGGAGGAAGGTAACCGTGGCAGAGCTTGCGCTGATGGTTCCGGAGAGCTTGGCAGTCAGGTACTGGGAGCTGCTCTGCAGAGAAGGAGACGTCGACCAAGGGCCGGTGGTGGTGGCAGATGACTTGGTGTCGCTGTCTGCGCAGGCCGGGGAGTTGAAGTCGTTGATGGCGTAAGAATTGATGTCGTCCTCGAAAAGTTGGATGCCGTTGAGACCACCGCCAGATCCGTAGAACTCGGAAATATCGATTCTGAATGAGTTCATTCCGACGAGGTTGACAAAGTGGAAGTCCTGGAACTTGAGGGTTGAGTTGTTGCTGAGAGGGCACTCGCTGGTGCAAGTAGCGTTCTGACCAGTTGCAGGGTCCACGTAGGTCATGTTCAAGATACCGCCCAGAGGGAGAGCGGTGAAACGGAATGTCTTGGTTCCTCGACCGTCCTGGTGGGTGTTCCAGAGCCGCATCTTGGTCGGCTGAAAACCGAAGCCAAAACTTGCCTGCCAGAAGCCAGCAGAGTTGTCGCGGAGCAGCCAAGTGTTGCCAGAGCCGTCGGTTCCGTCCGTCTTGCAGATGATGTTGCGAGGGTCGCTGAAGCCAGATGTAGAGGTGCTTGAGGCCGACGTGATGTTGGCGCTTGAAAGGTTGATTACCTGTCCATCCGGGGTACTGGGAGTGCTCGTGTTGCCGAGTCCAGTGAAGCTACCGCCAAAGACGATGTGGCCGTTGGAAGCCTTGGTGATGGACGAAACAGGGCCGTTAAAACCAGCGAAAGGAAGGTTAGTCCATCCATCAGTACCGTACCAGGCGATTGCGTTTGTCGAGTTGGCACCTCGGAAGTTGCCTCCAACGTAAACGGTGTTTGCGGCTTGGTCGCAGAGAAGAGCGTTAACCTGACCTGACAGACCGGCCAGAGGTGTGATCTGGGAGGTGTTGGGGTTGAACAAGGCAATGCCTTGAGACTGAGTGCCATCCAAGCTCGTGAAATTACCGCCAATTACCACTCCCTGCATCGTTCCATTGTCGAGCGTGAATGTGCACATGTCGTGAATTGAAGCATCAGTCGAGATGAGCGACGCAAAGGCGCCATTGGGCAGCTGAGAAAGCAATGACTCGCTTCCGTTTGTGCTGTAAGGCTTCTCATTCTGCTCCTCAAACTGGTAGAGGGAGATGCCGTTGAAGTCGCCCGCCACACCAATTCTGCCAAGCTGAGAAAGGTCGAGGTTTGCATCGGAGACTGAGGTGAACTGGATTGCTGCCACCGAGGAAGGCGCGAGAGCAGCCACTGCAAGGTTTGCCCACTTACTCCGGCGCGCCGAAGGGCGCTTACCGAGAGCTAAACGCATCGCTATTGCTGTTCAGTCGGCAAGAGGTCGGTGGAGTGGGTGCTGTGAATGCTGGGTATCGAAGCTGTTGTATCGAGAATTTTTGATGTTCGGGAATCGGAGTGGATATCGCGTCGCATTTGCAGAAATCTAATTTTGGATGCTGGCCATGAAAAGAATGATGTCTGCTGCTTCGTTTGATCGGTCGCGGGTTCGGAGGCGCGTCAAAAAATCGGTGGTGCGAAATTAAACGGAGAGAAGGAGTCGAATCGGGTCGAGTCGAGTCGGAAGGTGAGGATTTAGCGAATAATCGGGGGTGATAAAACGAGCGTCTGGTGTCGGATGTAGAGAAGGAAAAGAAAACAGAGACTAGTTGGTCGCCCAGTTCTATCGTTGGACAAGAAAAATGGTTAGAACTGAGTTGTGGCCATTTGACGGCGACGACGAGGTGGTGAGAGCTGCGCTTCCTATTCTTCCCCCTGCTCTTTGTCGACCGCAGTGTTTTGTTGTTTGTTGGTGGAGAGGCAGACAGACCACAGACACAGACGCAGACGCAGACGCAGAGCCCAGAGGGAAGGAGAGAGGCTGAGTCGCCAGACGAGATGGGACCTGGAATGGAAGGTGCGCGCCCCACTTTGCAGACTTGTACCTGCCCGTACCTGCGCCAGGGAAATTGGTGGTGACTTTAGGTTGCACTTACCTCCTATCAAAAGCACTGACTCTTTTTTTTTCTGTGGGTGGAGCGGTACGTCGCGGCCACGGCTCCACGGCTGCTGATTGTCGCTCGGATGGATTGGCAGTCGATTTAAGACTGGCTTGGGGTAAGCTTGCCGATAGCAAGGCCGCCAAACGTGAAATGAGGCAGAAGATTGATGAGAGACCAAGTGAACCGTTTTGTGTCGGTCGTCGGCTGGCGTCTCGGCGAAGAAGAAAATTCTACCCGAATGTCGAATAAGAAAGGAGGAAAGAATGAATGATTGTAAGGTGCCCTAAAGAGAAGTGACTGATTGGAGTGAGTGTGGATGTGTGCAAGTTGCAGCGTGGGAGAGTGAGAGAGATAGAGACGGGAAATCGGCGGGAATCTGATTCGGTGTGGATTCCCAGAGGTGGAATTGGAAAGAGTCGCGCGCGAAAGCTTCGAGAAATGAGTGTACTATGTTATCGACGTGGATGGATTGATGAGGTGCTTGTCTTGTGTGTTTGCAAACCGTAGGGGACCGCTGAAATGTCTCGCTGTAGTGTCGCCTCTTGCCGTAACACGAGATGTCTGTGCCAGGTCGGTCAGGTACGAAGTATCCGTAGGTAGTGTATCTCGTACGGATACCTGACTCTGCAAGCTAAGGTAAGCTATCAGGAGAAGAGAGGGCGATCGTTGGAAAAGCCGGTGACGCCACGGGAACTAAAGTCTTGAGGAGAAATGGCTCTAGTCGAACGTCGACCAATGAATGCTGCTGAGAGGGACGACCAGCGCTGTCCCCAATCTCGGGGGGCTTTGGAGAGCTTTCAGATGTCGATTCCTCTCTCCCCTTGATCCAATGGCACTACTATTCGATTCGAAGTCTTCTTTGGCGTCCTCCTACTATCGTCTACTGTGTATTCGTACTCTGCACTGCTCCAGGCGAGGATTTACGGATACTGAGGTGTCGTATGATCCCTGTCAGCCGCTACGCCTGCGCGTTGTCTTGGCTTTTTATTTTTATTTTTTTTAATTCTTTTTTTTTTCCCTCGTGCTGCGTGTTTGTCGTGATTGTCCGGCCGAGCTCAGAAAGGCCGGCTAGATGGCAAAACGGTCCGGGTAAGGCGTCGGCAAGGTACGATATTATGTTGAATCTGCGGAATTGACCTCGAAACTGGCTGCCCGCGAAATAGAAGAGGACTGGTAAATGAGCGACAGAGACGTTCCGCGAAGGGAACCTCGGGGCGAATGGAGGAGGGAGGGTTCGTGAAGTGCAATCGTCAAAAAGAGAGGCAGAGAAAGAGGAGCAACGCAACAGCAACCAACGAGGAGGAAAGTGCCTCAGTCACAATCCTGCAGGCTGCAGGTCACAATTGGGAGGAGCCACTTTCACGTTACCACTTTGCTCCTCCAAGCGCTCTTAGCAGGCAGGGGTTGATGTCGAGAATGCCCGGGCGGGGGGTCCTCGGCGTCGTCCAGTGTGTCGTGGTATCGGCGGCAGGCCACAAAAAGAACTGACAAGGCTTCTGCGGAGCAGCAAGGCCTGGATTTAGAACACGGCGATATGCTAGGTGAGTACTCCGTAAGGAAGGTGTAGATATTCGTGGATGTTCATCCTCCCTTTGCAAACATGTCACGAGGAAGATTATTCCCCGTTTCCCAAAAAGGGTCCGTGACTATCCAGAAAAGGATCAAACACGGCTTATTCAAATCCATCGAGATATCTCATCCACAGGCTCGGGACCCCCCAAGACGTTGAGAGAGAGAGTCTGCCGCAGTACTCCGTAGAGAAGGGCCTCCCTCCTTTCCAGCCTCCCTATTCCAGATCTGGGGCATGATTGACCTTGAAGTCTGGCGTGTCTGGCTGTTCTGACGGCCGCCCGCGGTCCAGGCCCCAAGCAGCGCACGTTCTTCCTGAGTTCCTGCAGCAGTTCCCAGCTGCCGCTACGCCCGATACAGCAGAGTGCCATGCCATGGAGTCTGCCAGAGACCAGACGGGGGCCACATCTTGCCCGGGCGGGCAGATGACGGACGGCAGGTGGGGGAGGGAGAACCTAAGGTACCCACGGTACCTTACCTAAGCTTGAAGATCCGGCCACTCAGGATTCAGGACTCAGGAGGGACACAGGAGGTTCCACTGCTCAGAGGAAAGTTGCTCAAGCCTCAAGGTGCTTTGGATGCGACAAAGTGCTCTGAATGGCCCATCTCAAGTTGCATTCGCATTTGCAGGCAGGTACGAATAATACTTCACCTAGGTACTATTACTCCGTATCTGTTGTTCCGTACTCCGTACTTTACTCAGCGTCAGGTACGAAGCAAAGTGCTGACCACTGATGCACCGCCCTTCTTTCCAACCCGCGACGTGGGGTTTTCCCACAGACAGGCTACGGATACAGGCTACAGCACCCCCAATCATCTCATCACATCCGTCTCAACCCTCCTTTCCGCGCCGGCCGTTCCTTGCATTCATGTCCCCGTGCACACCTCAGCTAAAAAAGATGCGATGCGATGGCAGACCCGGGGGCTCGTCACATCCAGTCAGCGGGTTGCGTCCAACAAGAACACTTCGCACTTCGCCGCCCACGGTATGCATGGGATAACCTTGTGAGAGTTTTAAGGGGTCGTGTCCTGGAAGGGGGGAGGCAGAGTAAGTACCTATCCATATCCAGTACCTACAAACTCTCACCGAATACATTATCACCCGGAGCCGCGGGAGAGAAAGACTGCTTGGCCGCCCTCTTTCTCCCGCCAATTTCAGCTAGTAATAGAGAATGACGAAGGGGGAATCCGGCGTCGCGGCATGGATCAAGAACCCTCCACTCCCTCGTCGCTCCAGTTTGCAGTGTCGTCCGAGGTGACCGTGACGAGGGGCTCGCGGAGCCCCATCTTCAAACCCAGTTGGTCTCACAGCCCATTCTCGGTGGGGGGGGGGGGGGGTGGGGGGGGATATCCCGGCCTGCGGCGTCCACTCCCCAATTAATGGAACTGTCATCGCAACCTCTTCTGCATAGGTAAACCGTAAGTGCATACACATTTGTTCACGATGCATTTGGTTGGCTCAGCATCTTCTTCCACTGACACAACTTCGATTCTGAGGAACGATTTGTTAAAAGACACCTGGATTCTAGAAACATTATCCACGTTCCTTCCAAGGTAGATGTTTACCACGGCCCGATTAAAGCAGGGCACGGGAAACCAAGGAACGCAGCGGGCAGTGCTCAAAGTGGAGGATAAGTTCCAACGCGAATCGCGAAACCAATTGGAGAACCCAGGAGGGGAAAAAAAGGAGAACAAACGCTCTCTGGCCGCTGGCGCGTCTGCCCATCCACTTTATCAGGTCCTCTCAAAAATCACTTTATTCCACCCGACCGTTCATGTGTACAATGCCCGAAAGCCCACCATCTATCCGTACCTACTCCGTAATGCGATGAATTACACAATCCAATGAAAACCTCGCCACACAAACGAAACAACCCAATTTTATCCCTACGACAGGAAACAGCTTTATGCGACCTTGTGTGCTTGATTGAGAAGAACCAATATTCTTATCTCTAGCAGCGATATGTAGGCTCTTATGCCGAAAGCCACACCATTGACGTACGGATACAGATAGGGGTACCACATGTTACAACCTACATGCCCACTTCGTTCATCCAAACATCAGCTTCTCTATACGGATACCTTAAGGTACGGATTCCTAGTTCGAACACTTCGATTTCCTTGCCATGGCAGCATTCAGACATCGGACGGGTCAGCAGGAAAGCCTCGAACAAACTTCATGCATATGGCATAGGCCTACTTGAAATCCCGACTCATGATTGTCCACATGAACAATCCCGGTTTGGCCGTCAACAATGCATTTATGTACGACATACTGCGTACACGGATCAGCCTGGTCTCCATTCGTATGCAAACCAGGTAGGGTGGTAGGCACCTGGCACTTGGAAGACCGCGGTGGGAACTCCTCCCATCGGACGCCGGTGTTAGCGTTGGGTGGAGAACGTCGATCCGGCACATCAAGCAACCGCCGCCATTAATGTTCCATGGATGCATCGCCGTCAAAACGCCGTCACCATCTCTCCTCCCCACGGTGACCCCGTCCGGCTGCACTTCGCGCATCATCTGCGAAAGGTTTCTCCATCTCCGTCTCATCACCCTACCTCGAAAAGGCCCGTCCACGCCACGGGGACCTCTGATTGGCCCAAGAGCTCAGAATTGCTCCCGATTTCATTACTGCCAAGATGCTTCCGGTTTTCATCAGGAGGATGTAAGTCTGCAGGGCTAAGTGGTCATGAAAGTCTTTTTTCTTCTTCTACTAACAAAAAGCCTCTCGGCTTGTTATCGC